GTTGCACATTGTGAATGATAGAAAAAGACCACTTAATATGTTTTAAACATTTAATTTATCGTCTCCGGAGAGAGATTGCCTTTCCACGATGAGAGAGGTGCATAACCGCAATTTTTAAACATGCCCATAAAAGATGAAAGAATAAAAGAACAGAGAGCAGTTTCCCACCAAATAATGCAACCTAAAATGTGCAACCATGTGACCTGATTTCCACAATTTGTATGTTATGTGACCACCCCACCCCATCCATCAACAAGTAAAAGAAGACACAGTTCAATTCCCACAATTTGTATGTTATGTATGCAGTACTGTTACTTTTTGTAACCATAACTACTAGAGATTCTTTTATAGCAACTTGGCCAATAAGAGAATTGTGCATCTATAATATGATATCCCTTGACCCAATACAAGATAAGCTATTATATTTACACAGGGTTGCATATTTTATGAATAAAACAAAAATGAGCAAATGTAGTTGCTGGAGAGGAGGGGGGGGGGACCAAATGACTGTTTAACTAAAACCAAACTCACACAGTATATCTCACTCGAAAGTAGGGTCTTGGATGATAAAATGTACATAGAACTAACCCTTACCTCAAAAAGTAGAGCATATGCTTCCGTGAAAACCCTTGTTGTGACTATGAGAGCAGACATATAGAAGGAACAAGGACTAGAAAAGATATTGCAGTTCTATCTGAATATGCAACGAATCATATCTCAAAGAACCATTTCAAATGAGATTTACAGTGTCGGTTTTGGTTTGGTTTATATGCAAAGAACCATGAGAAAACACTAAACTTTGACAATGGTAAAGAATGAAGTAGCATAGCATAGTGTATGTATGTATGTATGTATGTATGCATGTATCATTAACTACTAGCAAACTTGTATGAGTTACCATCAATCAGCAATCATTCACCAATGAATATGTTTGGAATCAATCAATGTAGCAATTATGATGAGTTGGTAGCTTAAACTTTCATTCATAAACGCTAAAAAACACATGTATAACCACTGAATCAATACTATAAAAATGATCGATCAAATTAATGAGAAATCTTTTCTAAACTGCAAATAGGCTAATAATCAATGGTTTTAAAAATTCATGCTTAGCTAGCAATCCTGAAATGAAGTGGAGGTGAGGCATGATCCAACTACTTATGGTCCACTACACATGCCATTTTATGCCATCACTTTCGGGATATTACAAGATATAGTTACATAATACACATTATGTATGCATATATTGTCTTGTATTGGAGACAGGAAGTAAGTTGATGAATTGGGTAGCTGACAGCCAAAAGAGCATGCCCAAAATCAACAACAATCGCTCCCACTAAAAACCAAATAAGAAAACACAAAAGTTCGCATACCACCAGCATAAAGGATGAGCACCAATGTAAGATCTCATCTCAGGCCAATTGTACCAGATATTGCCCGCTTTGTCCACACACCTTGATTCATGGTTTTAAAATGCATCTRGTGGAGGAGATATCCAGTCCCTTATAGTTAGTTCCCCTCCTCAACCAATGTGGAATCTTACAACCAACATCTTAACATGTTTACACACAAAAGCTTGTAAATTCCAAATCTTAACGGACCTAATTGACCAGAGGTAATACGAAGATAAACCAAACAAAACTGACCCAATAAAACCCACTTGAAARTAGGGTCTTTTTTGGGGTGGKGTACATAGACCTGACCTCAACCCCATAAGAGTAGAGTGGTTGTTTCTTGAAACCCTCGACTTGTGTAAAAGTGTGAGCAAACAGTTAGAAAGAACAAATACTAGCATGGTATGAGCAATACAACACGGAGATCCTCAAACAAAATGTCACCAAATTATACACCGGAGACGAAACAAAAAACAGGATCAGTAATTCTCCATTATCCGTAATCGCACTGGAAACACAAAAGGTCAGAAGAATTACATCTAGACAGTTACTATCTTGGCCAAGTAAATTCTAGGTTTGAACTTTTAACTGTGTAGCTAAAAGTTGTGGATGCAGGTTTCCTTCCTCTTTTACTCAATGTAAATGGAGATCAATAAATAACTCCATACTTATTGCATTCTGCCAGCTTATTAGTTTATTCACATTGGTCATCCAAAACTATGATCCTGCAGTCAACTTAGTGATCTAAGTTGGTGAGGCAAGTAAAAGTCTTTCACCCCTTCAACTTATGGCAAAAGGAAGATCATTTCTGTATGCAATCTACACAATTCTCAAATACTAAATGGTTTTTTTTTTTTTTTGATTAACTTGGATATCCAACCAGCTATGCGAGCCGATTAATCCCAGGACGACCAACTGTTTTGCAGATAGCCCGGAGCCACCGTATTTAAACCTCCATGGCCACAAGATGATTTTTGTTCCTCCTTGGATTTGAACCTGAGACCTCCTAGTACTTTTGACCTTTGGAGCCAAACTCAAACCAATCAGGCACCACCTTTTGGTTACTAAATGACTTTTTATACCCAAATGTAGGATAATCATTAAATCTAAGGGAGGTTCCTTATAAAATCTTTGATTTCTTTTTACGAACGTCGACTAGACTTGGACTATTTCTCCTTAATATATGTCCCTTCCCTTGAGAAATACTCTTTTTTAGAGGGTAAATATTTGGGGTTTCACGTAAGGCCTGTTTGTTAGCTGCTTAATGAGCTTAATGGGACTCATAACTTATTCAGTCGGCTATACATGACCGATTGGTAATGGCTTAATGATATATAGAAAGTGCTTAGGGAGCATTATGCAAAAAACCAAGTTTTTTCCACACCTCCTTCCATATATGAAAAATCCTCCCAAAAAAACTTTCGCAATTTACACGACCACACAAATAGCTTTATCTATACGAGACTTATGAAAATCCATCCAAACAGCCATAATCTCACATGGTGCAGAGGCAGTCTACAATTTCTAGGGAAGGAACGCTATGGGAAAACCTGTACTCATCTATCCCCCAGATCCATTTAGCCCAATCTTAGCCCTCTCTCAACAGCTCTCGACAATCTGTACCCGTTCAGCCTCTGTTAAAAAGGGCATGGTAGAGTCGCACTTGTGGACTATTTCTACTTTGTATACGTTGGAACCTCCGTTCTTCCTGTCTTCATTATGGGTTCCACATATTCTGAAAACCTATAATGTAACATATAAAGAGCACGTTAAGTAACTCCATTTTTGTATGGCTTGGAAGCAATATTAGGTCATAATTTGAACTAAACGATCACCACATCAAATTCATACAAGTGCAAAACACCACACAAAGTGAATCAGCAATCAGCTTCTCTACTTACAAATCGGATTTTCGGGAACTGTAAGCTGGAGTACCTTAATAACTAAAACTCCGTACCAATCAGAGTTACGAAATTGCAAACCGCATCGGAAATTAATCGAACGTTTTTGTCGGGAGAAATAGAGGAGGTTTTAATCCAGAAAACGGAAGGGATGCAGTGGTAAATTATTTGGAAACTGTAGTTAGGGACGGTCCCTAGGGTTCCTGCGACGTTTGGGACTGAAGAGATCGGGATGAAGGAGAAGACGACGACAGCTAAGAGCCAGAGCTTCCATGGAAGCTTCAGAAATCAGATGGATGAGTTTTACCTCGGCCCATTTCAATAACTTGGGCCCAGAGGCCCCAGACCACCAATACAAATCCAAATTGGACCCGCTTTATCAGAATCTGATTATTGGTAGGATCCAAACTTTTCAGGGGTTGTTCGGTTAGTGTATTATAAAATGGAAATGATTTTTTTTTTTTGATTTTATATAATATAATGGGCTTGTTCTTCCAAAAACCCAAATTCTAATTCCAGGTTAAACGGGGGAATGAAAATTCATTCTTATTTTCATTTCTCTGACTGAACCAAACACCCTCTAAATTGTTTTTAAAATAGAGAAAATTGCATAAAAAGTAATGTATTTTAACTTGATTCATATTTTCGGTAACACACTTTTGAAACTTTCATTTTGGTACCTAAAATGTAAAATTTTAAATATTTAACTACTCGGATAACCAGTTGAAAACTAATTTTAGATTAAAAAAAACTAATTTTTGATTAAAAAAATTAATGTCACTAAACACGCCAGCAAATAATATTAAGTTGGATACTACATCACTCGTCATATCAGCATGATAACCGGTTAATGCTTCAACCAGTTACCTGGGTACTTAAATGTTTAAAACATTACCTCTTAGATATCAAAATGAAAAGTTTTGAAAGTACGTTATCCAGAATATAAATCAAGTTAAATTACAAGTTATTTAGTTTTTTTTTCTTKAAAACTTTTTCTAACCAGTTATATGTAATCTTTTGGTTAAAAAGATGTAARTACCAATTTTTACAAGTTTAATAAATTTATTTATTAAAAAAATATTCTAAATTTAATCATTTAAAATAAGAAAGATGAACGACTTCTTTTTAAACATGAGAGTATATATATACACGTAGCTGAAAATGGTTTTTTTTTTTAAATATATAATTAAAAATATGTGAAAATATAATTAGGTCTATCTCGATCAACATCACTTGACTAACTGATAAACTAGTTGAAAAACATAAAATAGCTTTAAAAAATAATAAATTTTTGATATTTCATAATATTTTTAAAACAAAATATTGATATTAATACAAACAAAAATGATAATAAAATATATAAATAATAAAATAAATTAATTAATAGAATTCAATTTCATTGTCTCTAATTTAAAGGTTATATAACTAAAGTAGATTTACCATGCAAACCATGTTATTTGTACAAACCTCATTCAACAAATCATAATTTTTCATTTTCTTCATTTTTTGTAATTAATGAAAATTGATTAATCAATTTTATTATAAATCGTGTTAATCATGGATATTATCTTCATTATTTTAATTTTAGAGAAATACATGAAACAATTTCATTAATTATTATATGAAACAATTTCATAACCATATATGAAACAACCGTATCAAAAAAAGTATTATATGAAACAATTGTACAAGATTAAACAATTTTATGAAAAAATTTCATAAGATTAAACAATGAAATCGATGGATCTGGTAGTTTTCACTGTTTGTACAAATCAGATGGTTTGCATTTAAATATACCAAATAAAATTAGATCAAACTGCACAATCTGTCTTGAAAGTTGAATCCCACGTAAACTGAACAATAACCCATTTTTTGCACATAATTGTCCATAATAAATTAGCTTACGAGCTAAACCAAATACTAATATACCTCACATAGAGCTAGAATCAGGGGTATGATATAAGCAAACCTTACCGGCTACCATTACTCCAAAACGTACAACGGTTGTTTATGTGAAGATCATATTACAAACCCTAATACAATGAGATAAACTTGCTATGAAGCTAACATGGTAGTTAATTTAACAGTCTATGGCTGTCAATGCCATCATCTGAAATGAAAATTCTGAATTCACCAACGACGGTTATCCGAATGCGTAGATCAGCATAAATACAACCTTAAAAGAATTTAGTACATACCGGATGAACAATATGGCGTTCTACGAATCTTGTAATCGGTGGGTAGTAAGGCATGTCGCTGGTATATGGCTCCAGCATCGTATAATAAATGGCAGCGTGGGTTCATCCAACCATGGTTCGTTTTCTGCCTCGTAATCTCACTGGCAAGTTTAAGATGCAATTGCAAAAATGTAATAAGCAAAAAAAGTCGAATACTGCTCCAACCCAAACAAATGCAGGGTAACAACCACTTCGGTTGCGGGGCACTGGTTAAGGCTCTAGGGAATGTAGTGGAAATCTCATCTTCCCCGGGTGCAAATCTAGGCGCTGCCAAAGCCTTTGTAGCCATGGAGGTGGCCATTCGTGGTCACCCGGGGAATTAGTTGGTGCATGTAAGCCGGCCCAAAAACCATGGACGGACCCGATGTAGAGCATAAGGTGGCCGGTGTCGCCATATTGTTCATCCATCGCAGTGTAAAATTCTAGGGTCGTGAAAGTGCCATTGTATTAATTTGTTGTGTGTCATTGTATATGTTTTGAAACTAAAATGAGAACACAAATTTTCATTCGTAGAGTTCGTTTGCAAGGCTTTTCTTCCACCCCAGACCCGAGTTCGAATCCTGCTAGTGTCATTTTCTTAGTTTTTAATTTTCAATTTCTAATCTATTATGTTTTTGGAAAAAAATTGCAATAAAAGACTTGAACACAAGACCTCGCATATTAAAAAACAATGAACTAACCAACAGATCAATGATGATTTTGTAAAAAATATCCCTATATTTGTTTCTTATAGTCAAATAGTGCCATCGTTTGAAAAAACTTCTCGGTCCGTCCTTGTTGGAAACCCATGGTTGCCCAAAAAACAACAAATGCAGGGTTTGATTCAATACATGATCTCATATAAGGCTTTATAAGGCTTCATCTGGAAAGTTCATTTAGAAACCATAAATATTTTGAGAAGCATGAGAACCAACTATTCATGAATATCATGCATTTTCATTATTCATCATATTCACGAGAAATAATTCATGAATAGTTGGTTCTCACGAATCTCAAATGAACCTTCCCTGCCCCTTCAATGGTATTCAGATATCTAAAACATCTTTACCGACAAAAAACCCAAGGAATCTTGTGAATCAAGATTTGGAAGATCACAGAAAAGGAAATATTGCATTTATTTTGGGACAAAGACAGTACCACAAGAAAACAAAGATATGAAATGAATGTAGAGGAGAATACATGAAATAATACTGTACCTTGACCAAGTTTATTAAGAGTGGATGACCATTGCTTTGAAGACTTCCTATATGCAGCAAGTATCTTATCCATCTATTCAAGAATGTCAAACCAAAGTTATGTCAGTAAAATCCAATTACTGTCTTTTTTTAAGAGGATAATAATTATAATTTTGATACTGCAAAACTCACATACGCATTCTCATATTTGGTGAGGTTTGTACTCCGAGGAGGTCAGGGGTTCAAACCTCACCAGAGGTGAGGATGATGTGTGAGTTCATTTGTTGATATTTGCCGTGTATATATATATATATTATATACTTAAAAAATATGGCTGCGATACTAGGTGCCGCTGGGCCAACGGCCCTTTGGTCAATTACCGTGTCTTTAAAAGCCAATTTCAAGTTAGGGTTTGTTTCAGTGGCTTATGGGTGTGTATGGTACATGGATCAGTACAATACCGATGGGGCCAAAATGCATTTTTTTTGTCCAACCAAAATTGGCAAAACAAAACTCAGGGGACGAGACAAGATTGGTAAATTACTAAATTATCCTTGTCACATCAAAATTTAAAACCTTCCGGAATTCTTTCACAACCCCCCCCCCCCAAAAACCCTCATTCTCGCCCATCCAGTCGTGTCCAGTTCGCATGCTAAACGCACAGTAAGTGACTATTTTCAATTGAGAATACGGTATCATGGAGAATCAATGAATTTCCAAATGGCTTACCACATTTCCACATGAGGAATGCATCGAAAGCAAAGCTCGTTCCAGTACGTATAAATCAACAGCTTTGTCTTCCGGAAGGGTTGATACGAAGCTCAGACCAAAATCAATTAATACCTGAGAAGAGATGGCAAAATAGACTTACAAAAACAAAAACGAGTGATTTTTCAATAATTAAAACTGTCCGATACAAAAAAACAGTCCCGTCCGAAGCTAAATCATACATGTTCTCATTTGCATCAGTACAGGAACTTCAACTATATATCATTGGAATCATACGGATATCTAGTCTTCAAAATTCATCCAAAATTCTATTATACCATCAACTTGATGGTTCTTTCTTTTCTTTTTTGGGTGACCGTGGGTGTCCAGACCAGCTAGCACGTACCTCAACTAATCTCATGAATGGCCCTAAAGTGCTCACCCGGAGGAGCCCCAAGGCCTAGCTTTTATTTGCCAGTTGAGCAGACCCTCAAGGTTTGATGGTTCTCACTTTCCAAGCCATCAAATCGGCAGATACGTAACAACTCCATTGTTCCAAATAAGACAAGTAATATCCTCAATACCGCCACCATAAATGGGAACACTGGAACAACTTGCAACTTGTTGATTACTAAAAGAATGATTCTTTTCTAACCATAAAACTTGGCTTTTCATTGCACAGTAACCATCCACAATGCCAAAAAAGAGTTGAGCATTTGTCAAGTAAATCATTTTAAGTGGTCCATGCTTAGCAAGTTTAGCCAATAATTTAAACCATGAAAAAGCATGCAAGTGCTTGAATTAGCATCAGTCACACACACACATGTATAGGGTCAGGTTCAGGAGAGAACCACCAAAAAAAATGAAAAACTAAGGAACACTCTAGTAACCGTTCATGTGGACAGTATGCAGATGTGCATACAAGTAAATTGTGCGGTATGCACACGTGCATAGAAACCAAGAAACAACTTCAATTACTTGTATGCACATCTGCATACTGTCCACACCAAGGTGTTCTTCAGTTTTTCATTTTTTGGGGCGTTTTCCCCTGAACCTCCCTCTCTCTCTCTCTCTCGATATCTATCTATATATCTATCTATCTATTTGTGTGTGTGTGTGGTGTGTGTGTGTGTATATATATATATATATCACTGACACTACTAGCATAATCAAGAAACCGAATCATATAATCTTATAAAAAGGAATAGAAGGATTAAATATCACGTACCAGCTGATTGCTGCCACTACGCCATAACATATTCGATGTGGTCAAGTCCCCATGAATGACTCCACCATCATGTAACTTGCCAATGGTATCTCCAATTTGCAAGGCAATGTCATCCATCCTTTCTTCAACAACTCCTTGCAATCCAAATTCAAGGAATATATCTTTGATTGATGGACCTTCCACATACTCAAAAGTTAGTGTGTGTGATACAGGATCTACCGCATAAAGCACGGGAGTAGAAACTCCAAGCCTCCTAGCCTTTGTCATACACCTAGCCTCCTATAAATCATGAAATATATCAAGAATAATCACGATGAAATCTTTGAAAATTAAAAAAGGGTTGAGAATAGTGTTAATCTAAGCAACAAACCGCATTTAAGCGCTTGAGCGTGAGCTTTGAATCTAAAGTCGGATGCCTATACTTCTTTGAGAAACGTTCCTTAACAACAGACTTCCTTCCAGCAAACGTTGACTCGAAAACTCTCTGATAAATATCAACCAATATACAAGATAAATATATGTTACCTACACATAGCATGCAAGTCAAACCATATCAAAATACGGGTCCGTTTTGGAACTCTAAGGATGCATTTGGTAAACCGGACATAATAGAAAATAAAAAATTTGCAAAAATAAAGAAGGATTTCTATACACTAGACATACAATATAATTTAAATATGACAATGGGTTGCCCGGGATTCGAACCCAAAACTAGTTTGATGGAGTAGATAATTTCCTTGTTAAATAAGTAAAATTCCCTCCCAAGCGTTGCTTACATTTTTTAGTGCACACCACTTTCAGAACAAGGATCACTGTGTTTGGCAAGACTTTTATGTGGAACAAAGTGGAACGAGCTTGTTCCACCCACACCCTATGGAACAAGGTGGAACAAACCTTTACTGATATAACCTCAAAATAAAACCTAATTCTCTTCTAAAACAGCAAATGCACCTCCCTCTTTACATTTTATTCATTCTTTAAATTTTATTTATTATATTTAATTCTCTTTAAATTTTCATTTTACTGTCGTCAAAATATTATTTTTCAACGGTTTCTATATTTTGATTAATTTATGCAATTAATTAAATATTAATAGTTAAAAAACAATATAGAAAAAGTATAAAATAAAATTTGGAAACCATATAAACCTTTTATTTTGGTGTCATTTTTAATCGTCTTGAAGAAAATTTTCTAATAATTATTTTTTTATAAAAGATACTTATTTTATCATAGTTTACATAAATTAATCAAAATATGTAAAAAAAAAACTCATTAGGGGTAACTTGGTCATTTTTTCTATTCTGTCATGTCCAATTCTGTCTTACCAAACACTGAACAACTATTTTGTCCTGTCATATCATGTCTGGATACCAAACGCACCCTAATTGCATAAGCTTGGAATCAGAGTCGAACCAATTTCAGTTTCAAATATGCAAATACGAGCTTTAACTTCTAAATCTCAACTTCCATGCTCCAAACACAATAAAAGCATCAAGTATAAAACTAAATCGACTCACGGCTTCAGCGCCTTGCTTTATCAGAACCAAAGAGCCACCTTCTCCATTTGCTTCAGTATCCATATGTATATAATTTTGCAACCACTTGTCTTTCCTTGGCTTTTACCTTATCCTAAATAAACAACACAAAAAATTACGCATCTACGAAAATTGCATAGATCCTCTTCTTTTCAGGGTCATTTGGTTAAATGACCTTTCTCACAAGTTTCTTTTCAATCCATGACATTCAGACAGGTTTGAGAAAGCCACTTCCGTACACAAGAACGACACTAAACTTGTCAGAAGGTTATGTTGTTAATAATATTATCATTTAAAGTAAATGGTCAAAATAACCCTTATTTTCTCAAGCTGCTTAATTTGTTTCACTATTCTGCTAATCTAACATGGCCTTATCAGGACTGTAGTATTGTAGTTACTGAATAGTTCACATTCTCTTAGCAGTAATACACATTCTCTTCATAGAAGTCTTCCTGCTTCTATTGCCACCTCACACCTATGGAGGGGAAGAGCTAGAAATATTACCTAGGGTGATCCTCTTAAATAAAACAAAATATAGAGAGGGAGGTTTTGGAGAAAACCCTTAAAAAAGAAAAACTGAGAAACACCCAGGTAACCGTTCATCTGTACAATATACCCATGTGCATACAAGTAATTGGAGTTGTTTCTTGGTTTTATGCACGTGTGCATACCAGACAATTTTACTTGTACATACATGTGCATACCGTACAGATGAATGCTCAGTTTTTTCTCTTTATATATCGACAGCAACATCAGTATTATCATTGGTAGTCGACTCCGACAAATCAACAATTCTTTTTCTCTTTGTAAAAGTACTTACCCATAACTATTAAAATATACATAAAAAACTATCAACATTACAGTTTATCATAGTCAGAGTGTCAACAGGAACAAAGCAGAAAGGAAGAAAGCATTACCTAACAAATTATAGAACAAAAATCCCAAGTGTCAATCAAAATCCAAGTTTACTTGACACTTCACAGAACAAAAAAATCCCAAATTTGAAACAAAAATCAAACATCTAAGTTTACATGACTCTTCACGGGACAAAAAACCCAAGTTCCCAACAGCATTCAATCATCCAAGTTCACTTAATTCGAACAAAATCAAACATCCAAGTTTATTTAACGCTCTACAAAGCAAAAGATCCCAAGTTTCAAACAAAATCGATGTTTACTTGCACTTCATTAAACAAAAAATACCAAGTTGAAAACAATGGAAGTTTCATCGAACAGTTGGCATGCACTACAAAAAAGTAAGAGAATCAGTAACAAAAAAAGGAAAAACCCAAATCCATAATTCCATGAATACTTTAATTAAGTAACTGGTTATTATTACTAATCAGAAAGCAAAAAACTTGCAGTCATTGAAACCCTAGAAAAGCAGTTGAAGGAGAAAAGGCACCTTACCTTGTAATGGCGTGGACAAAAACGGGAAGGATGACGGGAAGGGTTTTGGATTTTGGGGTTTTCACATGGGACTAATGGGTAATTTTGTAATTTGGCGTATCGAGTTTATGGAATATTGGATTGGGAAATTGAACAAAATCACCATCTCTCAGTGGAATTCCATTTACAGTTTGACTCAGATGTCACTGTCTTGGCAAGTGACACCTCCCTCACATGCAGAGATAGCTAAAAGACAAAAAAAAAAAAAAAAAAAAAAAAAAAAAAAGTTCTACCCATGGCTGCAAGTTATATTGCAGAATCAAAAATGGCTCTAGTTTACAATCAGACGAATGAACTGTCGGGAGCTCGTATGAGAGCTGGTTTGACTGCCCTAGAGTGCATAGATCCATAGGTTCGATAACTTGTAATAAAACTGATGTGTGAGAGAAATATTTATCAGGTAATGGAGATACTATAAGCATTCCATCAGTTACGTATCAATGTTCCAACAAAAATACTTATGCAGACGAAGCCATACAGGGGTTTTGGCAAGGCTTTTGTAATTCTATCCTACCATACCATATCTCGATCAATTGACGTAATTATTCTATCGCGTGTACATTCCCAGCTGGAGTTCATATTGGCCATGGTACTAGGAAACGAAATCCTAAAATGGCACCTTTATTCCTACGAAATACCATACGAACTTACGAAGTAGAATGCTTAGACTTAGGATTATACCTATTTACCCAAATACCCCGACGATTTCCACTCGTTAAGAATTTCGGTCTATACCGACACCATAATATCAAACTGGGGGACGAATTTCATAACTTGCTATCCTCTTACCTAACAAGCAAAGATTTGCCTCCGTGGAAAGGAACATCAAACTAGGTTCCAAGATTTGAAAAAGCTCTCTAAACCCGTCACCATCAACGACACTAAAAGGTTGTCATCTTTCACCACAAACCTAGCCAAGGCATTGCGACATTTTTCTTTATTAAAAGTCCCGGCCAACAAATTTCCCACACCATCACCACCACATTGAAAACTAAGTACTTTTTGTGTTTTATTAGTTTCCCTACCCGGACTTACATTGTTTTTTTCCACAATAATTACAAGCACACCTAGGATCATTTGGATTTCAACCCTCTACTTTTGCAAAGTAAGCCCAAACAACAGATACTCTACCACCCGACCCTCTTTATCAGTGTTCGGTTCTCCTTTCATCTCTTTATCAATACATATTGGGGTAACGTTAGCATCCATTGAAACCGTAAGAAGTAAGAAGCCAAATAAATACATAACATWACTCAATAGTCAATTAACATTAGCATTAGCATCAATACAGAACTCAATAGTAACATCAGAAGTTCAAAGAAGTCCCCAAACTTAAATAGTAACTCAATAGTTTCGCTAAAAATAAACGGTGTAATTGAATCTAGCATACACGAGGCAAGCAAACGAACACAAATATGCCTAAAATTTGCAACAGGACTAACTTCAATACATCAAACAAAACGCTAAGGTTCAATGCCTAAGAACATTTTGCAGTTCTCAAACTTAGAACTTACAAGTTGTCATATTAGGTCAACTTGAGTTGTTGAACAACTTCAACTTATCCATGAACATACACAAAACAAGAACCGAACAACTACATCTACCAAACACCTTGAAAAGCGTTCAAACACTTGAAATCGAAAAACATAAAACAATCAACGCGAACATCTCTGTGTATATTATGTACATTGAAAAGCGTGAATAGAAACTCGAAGAATCTGAAAAGTGCTCGGAGAAAAATACGTACCTGTAGTAGAAAACCTAGTTCAAATTCATCCTCTCCGCTGATAATATCTTTGATGGAGAGAATTATCGAGAACGACGATAAAGAGGGTCGATTGGTCAAAAGCAACCATAACGGACTGGACACGCACCGGCTACCGGATTGGGTCGGTTTTTATTGGGCCGGGTTGGTTGATTTTTTGATCAAAAAAGTATCCGCTTACTCTAGGTTGGGTCTTTTTTGGAATTTTTCGGGTCGGGTTRGTCGTGTTAGTTAAGTTTTTGAGCATTTCTATTTGAAATCAGCAAAAAAATCTTTTGAAATTAATAAAAAACCAAAAAAATTCTTTGAAATCGACAAAAACACTAAAAAAATCGCTTGAAGTCGATCAAAAAACTTTAAAAATCCCGAGCAACTTTATAGACCTTTAAAGGGTTGTTTGGCAGTTGTTGAATGGTAGAATGAAAGAGGCTCTCATGATATAGTGAAAATTTAAATACAATTATTTGATAGTTGTTTACAATGAAATTATGGCGCTGAATGGTTAAGAAAGGTGTACGATACAAAATTATTCAGATGGTTTTAAAATCATTAAGAGGCAAGATTTTTTTTGTCAAACACGATTCACCTCTTAATGATTCATAAGCTGTCACTTAAGAGAATTATTAAGAGGTAAACAAACAACCCCTAATTATAACCCTGATTTGTCACTGCTTAAGTGTTTACTTTCCATAGAACGCTTAATAGAAATTTTAATAGTAAAAATTAACCAATTGAGCAACTCCTCCAAGACTAAATTGTATAAGTTAAAACATTCATTTATTAAAAAGATGAATTATGAAATCCCATGAAATAYTTGGGGAAAGGATTTTAGGTCAGTTTTAGTTTGAAAGATTTTGATGAGTTTGATTTGAAATGAATTTTATTTTTCATAAATGATTTAAAATGATTAAATTTAATTGATTAATATATTTTAAAATATTATTAAGTTATGAAATTCCATGAAATACTAACTAAACTCGTGGTATTTCTAAATTCACGGTATAAATGAAATCCCACAATTTGAATTATAGACTTTCTTTAAACAAAACATAAAATTGAATCCGAATTCAATTCCATATCCCTCTARATTCATKGTCTATTGTCGATTTTGTATTCAATATTAGGCTTCATAAAATTGTACTTCGTTGTAAATGAATATGTTTGAAATTTTAGGATGTTTGTAAAAATCATAACAAGTTGATGTAATGGGAATTATTAATTACATGACATAGCCATGTGTCCTTTGGAGGCAAAAAAAAAAAGGTACTATTACATTGATGTCCTTTGAGACGGGTTCATATGAGATCAGTTGGGGTAATCGATAATCAACTTTTTACTCAAATATAACCTGGTTTTGATTATAAGTAGGTCGAAACARCGAATCAATTTTAGAAAAATATATATAATCGAGTGATGGTGTAAAAAAATGCCCCATCATGGTCATGGAGAGACTCCAAATGATGACGTATATCTTTTTTTAATCAAACGAGGGGTTGTTTACTATCTATTGACCAYATTTTGCTCTTATTCRRTAAGAAGGGATGTTGTTTACAAACACGCTCCAACCCACAARGGGTTGCTATTTGACTTGGTCARAGCTTGGTAAACAACCATTTTCAATTGACGCTTACCCGGATCAAACTCTTTCGTAGAGCTAACCCAATTTGTATCGGTAAACAACCCCAAATTCTTGGAATTGCGCACATTCAAACACCCCAATTAGCAAGAGAATGAGCCATATGAAACGATATACGTGTAATTTAGCGGCTTAATATTATTCGAGCATCGGTTACAATGGATCGTAATATTAAATCAGGTCATMGTAAACCGAAAAAAGAGGAAGAGACAAACCGACCTCTAAGTGGCGTTGATGTTCGAATGGCCCGACGACTCTCTTTGAAGATTTTCGGCGACRGGTATAGAAGCTGATCTGCTGGGAAGAGTCTTATAAATGGCTCTAATGGTGTCTGGAGTCGTTCTGCAGCAACCRCCGACAAGCGATGCACCCATCTCGCACCATGTGTTCACGTACGAAACAAAATCTTCATCCGGAACTCCAGTGTTTTGCTGCCACGTATCGTAACAATAAGATACAATATCACATAAAAGTATTGCAACATTTTCTTGTCCAGAAAGATTCAATGTTTGTGTAAAAGGGTTTGTAACCAACAACACCCGAGTCGGCCTATTCTACTCCGCCCAAGAGCATCATGTGAGAGGCAAATCGGGTTCGGCCCGTTAGAGCATCTCCAACAACTACTCCAGACGGAGAAAAAACGAGATTTTAGAGAAATTATGGAAAAACTGTTAGAGATGCTCTCGGGCGGTTTCCATAAGGGTGCATTTGGTAAGGTGGACGGAACAAAACAGAATACATTGTCCCATGTTTGGTGTGACTTTAAATATTATGTGTTAATTTTCATTTAGATTGATTATTAGGTAACAAAAAGTAAACTGGTTATTTAACCAGTCCAGTCACGTCTTACCAAATGCTAAACAAGTGTTGTTCTGTCGAGTCTAGGTATCAAATGCACCCTAAGAGTTTAGTACCCAGAAGTAGCCCAATCGTCAAATGAATTATAATTCACACGATGGGTGGCTGAACTCAAACCCTTGCCGGTTCGTGCAAGTACCATCCTGGACCCAACTGTATTACGCCAGGAGGCAAAGGAAAGATTCAAAGTAGAAATKACTTATCTACCCGTCATTCTTTATTAAAAATAGGAGGTTAATTTGTTCTCATAACCCAAAAGAAGAAGTACTCACCACCCATTGCTTTAGTTGAGCATCATAATTTTCCCCGCTATTTGGATATATAAGTATTGGTTTGGTTGTCACCTGAGGAAGACAACAWACTAAGATCACTAAGATATTAGACTAGTATCCTTTTACAAAATATAGAAGGAAAAATAAGAAGAATAAAAAAACCAAACTAAGCAAACCCAGTATATCCCACCTGGAGGTGGGGTCTTGGGTGAGATGTACGCAAACCTGACCTCTACCTCAAAGAGTAGAATGATGGATCCTAGCATTCCACTTTATATATCAATATTGTTGGAGTCTCATATTGAAACCTCCCTTATCTCCTCATGTTGAAAARTAATCTAATGGGGTTTCACATATTCTCACATGGTATTAGACCCAAKGTCTACCACTCTAAGGGGCCGTTTAGCAAACACTTATCCGGTAAGCGCTTACCAATAAATTTAACAATATCATTTACTTACCGGATAAGATTTTAGTCCACCAAAATGGTATTGTATGCAACAATTTACCCGGTAAGCGATTACCGTGGTAAGAGTCGTCGCCCTCATTTACCGGGTAAGACTCTTGGTCCTTATCTCGCTCTTACTGGGTAAATTTTTTGATCCTTACTATATTTATCTGGTAAAGTAAAATGACTTGGTATTCAYTTACCCGAGTAAGCGTTTGGTAAACGACCCCTAAGTCTCTAAGGACTCGACTCTTAGGAATAATCTATGCCCATCTAGCTTCTACTGGAGGGAGCGTGTTAAAGTCCCACATCGGCTGGATTTGGACCCTTTCTCCTCAATATAAAAGKACTCTYTTGGAGAGTAATCTAATGAGGTTCCACATATTCCCACATGGTACCAAAGCCAAAGTCTACCGCTCTAGAGACTTGATACTTTGGGCCAAWCTATGCTCATCTAGGCTCTGGTTTAGGGGAATGTTAGGACAACTGATACTCATCTACCCTACATTGGAGGGGGCATGTTGGAATCTCACATCTRCTAGACTTGGACCATTTCTCCTCGATATATGTTGAAACTTCTCTTCTAACACTCAAAAATCATCTAAACTGGACGGGCATTGGTAGTTGAAACCGTTCAACTACTTACATTTGTTTCATTGTGTTCTACAACATTAAGGAAGTGGAAACCTTTGGTGACTTGAGAAAGAACAATGCATATTTTTTCTYTGTTGGCCTACTACTAAGGATCGAGATAGCCACAAGACCATAGCTAACGAAGCAAGAAATAAGAATCGATACCTTTTTTATTGTTGAAATCAAACCACCAATAAATCTAGGAGGGGTGCAATTGATTCCTACAGCAACAACTTTCTTGCATGAATCAGCTATTGCAGCACATTCGGCCAAGGAATCACCACTCACCACATTTRCACCATCTTTGGAATTAAACGAAAACCATGCAGGAACGTTTATGCCTTCTTCAAGAAGCTCAGCAAAAGCCTRTTCAACACCGGAGTTATTAGATAAGGCCTGTGACTGATTTGTTCCTTTAGGATGCATTTGGTATCCCGACAAGGCAAGACAGAACAAAACATGACAAAATAGTTGTTCARCATTTAATAAGAMAGAAYTGGACAGAACAGATAAAATGACCAMTTTAGCCCTAACGAGTGTTTATATATYTTAATTTGTTTATGTAATTTATTAACTTATAATAAAATAAATATTTTTATAACAAAATATATCATTAGAAGGTTTCCGTGAAGACGATTGAAATGACACCAAAATCAAAAGTTTATATAGTTTCCGATTTTTATTTTATACCTTTTCTATCTTATTTTTTTATCATAAAGTTTAATAAATTACATAAATTAATCAAAATAGAGAAACCGGTATAAAAAATAATATTTTGAGGACAGCAAAGTAAATGTTTAAAGAGCATAAAATACAATAAAAAAAAATAAAAGAATAAATAAGATGTAAAGAGGGAGACGTATTTGATGTTTTAAAAGAGAATTAGGTTTTATTTTGAGGTTATATTGGTAAACATAGGTTTGCTCCACCGTGTTCCATGGGGTGGGGGTGGAACATGCTTGTTCCACTTTGTCCCACTCTTTTCCATATAAAAGTCCTGCCAAATGTGGAACAATGATCCATGTTCTTGTCTGTCCTATCCAGTGTACCAAACGCACCCAGGATTGGATTGGCTAGAGTGAAGTAGGTGGRTGAAAGAATTGTGCAAGGTTTTATGGTTTTAATTTGACATAGATATTTTAGTAATTTACCAAGCATGTTCCATCTCCCTGATCTTTGTTCTATCTATTTTGGTGGGACAGAAACAGTGCRTTTTTTGTCCCACTCAATCCTGTCCAACCCCGGTCTAACAAGTTTTTGTTCCGTCCTATACTGTCTCACGTACCAAACGCACCCTTAAAAARTTATGAAGATTTGAGGAGTCTGTGAGTCATTGTAGTTCAGTGAAGTTGCACTATGTAGTGATGTAAAATAAATCTTGTGGATATGATAAAGAAATTTTTCCGACCTGKGCCTCTAGCTTATTTGGCACTGTTTCGAATGCAATCAGATCAGCACCAGATTCAGCCAAAACTTGAACTCTTCTCCGGTGAAAATTCTTCAAGAATTCCAAATTCATTGCAGTACCGTAGTCCCCACTGTAAGAGGGCAGAGCAAGAAASATGCAATTGTTAACATAAACACTACACAAGCAAAACTAGAGCAGTCGAAGACTTCAAAGGAAGTCGATTTTGTTGTGCAGACAATTTCTAAGGTAGACTAATATGATGGGGATGTTATGWTGGTTATCATGGCTATTTTGAGTACATGTTCCCAGAGTTCATATGGAAGTCCTCTAACCAATTGTTGACATTCTCTATGAGAATGTAGATAAAAGAATGTTCCATGATGTAGACAAAAGAATGTTCCATGATGTAGACAAAAGAAAGTTCCATGAATGCCTCATAACTCCCTGGGTTATTTAGCTAAGAGCATCTCCAATGGAGGTTCTTATAAGAACCCACTTTTTGTACTTTTTCTTGCCAAGTCATTCCAACTCACCAAATTAATGACCCTATATCAACTCCAAATTGTAGTTCTTATAAGACCCATTTTGTGGGTCCCATGTATAATGTAAGTTAAATAAATATATATACATATTAATTATTATATTGGAWATAAAAGTCAAGAAAATATATAAAAAACTAGCAAATTGTCACTTCACACCAACTTCAAGGTAAGAACCAAGGTTCTTGTACAAGAACTCAAAGAAAATGAGGTTCTTATAAGAACTCTCTACRATGTTGATTCTTATAAGAAGCTACACTTCTTGCTTATAAGAACTTTGCACTAGAGATGCTCTAAATGACCTCCTGAAAAGTGCCTTTTAGATTCATGACCCTCTGATAAGTTTTTAGGCATTTTTTGTGTATGGAAGAGGTATTATTCTGTTACGCAGTGGCATCGTGAATGTCAGAAGGTCATGGATTTGAAAGAACCATTTGTCATAAGGCCATTTAACTAAAGGACCCTCACTCCCTTCAACATATCATTTATCCCAAATTATGTGAATATAACAATACTTCATGCAACTATTTACTAGTCATGTCAAGCCACCTGTATTCAGAACCATCAGCCAGATATGCCCCATAACTCCCTACCGATGCAGCAACTAAGATAGGACGATGCTTTAAAATTCTACCATCACCAGTATAATCACTAGAAGATTCACGGCATTGTTGATAATATGCATCCCTTGCCTCACGGGYAATTTCTACACTTCTTCTAAGCATGGACTCACCATCTTCTGAAGAATAGCCTTTAGCCTCAAACCCCTGAATTGTTGCCTGCCATTCAAGAAAATTAAGAAGAGGGAGAGTCGGAGAGATATGGCATGGTAATAAAAGACCGCTCTATTACCTGATAAGATGCTGTGATTAGTATATCTGCACCAGCTTCAAGATAATCAAGGTGTACCTATACTGCCAAATAGATGAGTACACATGCAAGGGATAGGAAATAGGTACCAGGAATCTTTCCAATATTGCTATTGAAAATACACTTGGTAAATTCATCTCAGCTAGTTCCTAAAAAAGATCTTTTAACTATACGCAATGGGCCCATCCTGAGGGAAAACTATTAGAGTATTTATAGTAAAAAATGTTCAATTTCACTAAAATCCTATATTAGAATATCGTACGAAAAGGGCCACTGACAAGCTAAAACTTCATCTATAACAGTTAATTCCAGAATGGTTCCTTGGTGCGGTTGCACAATATCCATGAACTTAGGACCGGCATTATTATCTTGTCATTCATAGATGCTTACCTGCTATGGCATGAAGTCTTATCAAAATTATGAACTTTCTGAAAGTGTTTTTACAAATTAGATCAAGCTCCCCAAGYCAAGCTTTTAAGGAGAGTATAAACCAAAACAAACAAACCCGTTATGCCCACTTATAAGTATGATCTGAGTGGACCACCTCCTTCCGTAAATGCCTTGCCTTGGGCATGCCCACCCGGGTTCGATTCCACGGGGAGGACAGGTTGTCTTTTCCGGTGCTTGCTTATGAGGTATGGCAAGTAGGGTTCACAAAATGTGGACCACGGGGCCATGAGGTCCCCGCCATTAAACCTTTAAGTATGATCTGAGTTTCACTAGGTTTGTACAAATTGTTTTACTGCCAATTGCCAACATGTTGTGTTATTATAAGTTGGTTTAATGGTTTGTCTTTCTAGCTAGTCAGTCCATCATGAATCGGTCTAATTTTTAATCAGTGTATAATRTATTCATTTGCTTTCAGTTTAACTGAAATAGTAAAATATATACATAGCAATATAATGTTTCAGTTTAACCAAGATAGTAAAAAAAATAACCGAGAACCAAACTGAATAAGTTCTATCTATTCGATTAACTGAACCGTTTAAGCCGAAAACCGAATAATCCGAAAGCATCAGGTTCAGATGACTTATTCGGTTTCATAATTTTTTCAACACCTGTGGTTTCAGGAATTTTTTAACACCCCTGATTGTCCCCCAATCATAAAAKTTTATGGATCCGCTACCRCATTTAGGAGTGTATAGCAGATTTCAGCATGCTCTGGTGCTGTCAGGTGCTATTCTAGGCCAATCCAATTTCCTTTTAATCTTCTGAAATTATCAAATTGATATGCAKTATATGTGGTGCTCGTGGTACTATGAAAACTCTCCAACCGAGAAATTGTTGTGAAAAAACAAAAAGAATTATCAAAGGCAACGATATAGCTACTAAGATTACTGTAATTCTACATAAGCAAGTAACCACAAACAGATATAATACAACAATCATAAAGAGACYAGTAACTCATTTCACTAGCTATGATTTCCTTCTCGTTTGTGCCTATGATGCAAGAGTCCGTTTCACTACCAAAAAGCTTCAGTAACTGTGTATATTTCTTCCTTACATTTCTCACATAATCTCACAAATGAACACAAAAACTATGAACAGAGAGTTCGTATTCACGAAGCACGTTGTTTTCATGGCCGTTACTGATATAAATGTCATTATAGCATCAACAAAATGGAGTGTTATTTTATATACCTGTCGAATAAGGTGAGTAGAAGTCACGAGGCATTTAGCGCTCCATAGTGGATCGTTAAGGTCAGCACCATATCGTTCGAGCTCCGTCGCAAGTCCGCCGTCAATTACAGCGACGCCACCGGTCTTGTGGAGGAAATCTGACATCAATGTGTCGACGGCGACGCTACTCATTGTCTTTATTTCAGAAAATCAGTTAGTCTCAGGGACAAATTAAACGGAAAWTTTTCCGGTGACGGCGGTGAAAACTGAACGGTAATCAGGTATGAATCAGAAGTGCAAAATGGTCCAGGTCCAATTTATAGAAAGGGGCCGGGAAGACGTGATGAATTTGAAACTATATTGACACTTGACCCCCTTTAACTTTCTATTATCTAAATTGACGTGTATCGTAGTATGATTCTTTATACATTCATATTCTTCTAAATTCGAATTAATTCCTAAATTATTCTACTTTTGTCGTTGTCTTTTTATTCATTATAATCTTAAATGAAAAGTTACGTAAAAAAGTCGATAATGTCAATCAATTCCAAAGTGCGAAATGACCTGAATTGTGGTGCGACAGTGAGAGACAAGGACTAAGAATGTAAATGGCTCAAAAGAATAAGGAGGTGAATTGACAATCTTGAAAAACACATAATGAACAAAACCATGATAGTGAAATGGAATAAACAAGCCAAGAAGTATGGCGTCTAAAATGGGAAAATTAGGCATCCCATGCTTCATATGGTTGTACCATGCCCATTACTTGTGGTACTCCATATACCAAAATTACATAATTACCCTCCAAGTTTATAAGCACGTGTCATGAAATATAAAGCAAAACAAAAGACACAAAACCAAGCATATGTTCAATTTTCCATTCACAAAAGAGAGAATAAGAAATCATACAACCAACAAAATCTAATATATTTCACTTTAAAAAGTTTGAATAATAATAATAATAAACAAAAAAAAAATTCAAACAAGATTCACCTCTTAACGATTCAAATACTGCAGTGAAATCTTTGAAAAAGTGGGACCTGAACTTTAGTAAGTCTAGAAATTGTTTAGTTTCCATTTTGCTCTGAAAGTGGCTCCTAACCACTAACTTCGTTAAAAAAAATCCATTAAAAGGAAGGGTATTTCTATTTTTTTTTAATTAGTTTTGTCTTTTCTCTAGTTTTTGTAGAAAACCATTCAACTACAAGGAACAAGTATGTAATTATTTATATATATATATATATATATATATATATATTGGGGCTGGTTCAAATAGAAACTAACCATATGATACAAACTATGTGAACCGATCTTGATCGTTCATTTTATCATCAAACGGTTATTATTAAATGAGATTAAATAAACAATAATTTAATTAATGTATTAATTGATATGTGTATGAACAATTGTTCAAAGGGTAAATTGGTCAAATGGTCATTATTAAATAAGTATTAAAAAATAATCAATTAATCATTAAATTAATTGGGCTGCTTATGAACAATTGTTCACAGAGTATTTTGGTAATAAATCATCACGCATCGTGAACCCGATATTCTCCAGCCGATTTGTAACCTACGATTGATTATGAACATATTCACAACTCATGTTCACATGTCGGCCCTATGCTCGTGTGAACAACATTTGTGTCTTGCAATGTAAACACTATGTTCATATGTTCATATATGTTCACATGTCGGCCTTATGTTCGTGTGAACAGCATCTGTGTCTTATAATGTAAACACTATGTTCATATGGTGTGATGTTTTTCAATGTCATACCGTATGACATCGTCACGGGTTCGTATGAACAACGATTGTGTCTTTCAATGAAAACAAATTGTTCATATGGTGAATATATATGAACATAGACTGCAAGAGATGCACARATATGAACATTTTCAAAATCAAGGATCGTTGTGCATGTGTGCAGATATGAACATAGACTGCAAGCGTTTTATTGTTTTCATTATTCTGATATTCTTTTACAATATGATTCTCCATGTATCTTGGACGAAACGAAAATCTTGTACACTTAGACAACCAATTTCAATATATGTAGWACATAACTTGAAAAGAAGAACATGAACATGAAATAATAAAGAAATCAGAAAAATCTCATGATCAATTAGAGGTATCTTTTAAGATTTGTAACTCCCAATTAATTATTAAGGGGTTACAAAAAGGTTAAATTACAAAATTATCCTTATCATTAATTTATAATTTAGATTTGAACCTAAAGTGAAGAAAGAATGTGATTGGTTAAAGTTGGTTAGCTTAGTTTGTACCATATGGTTGGTTTATATTTGAACCAACCTCTCTCTCTCTCTCTCTCTCTCTCTCTCTCTCTCTATATATATATATATCATTTGACAACTTCAAAATTTGTAAAATCCGTAAAAACTTATACTTTAAGGTTTTGTTTCATATGATATTTTTCCGATTCGATTATAGTATTTAATGTATTGATTACATATGTTCATAACGTGAAATCTTTTTACGTCTATTTTTTTCACAAACACACCAAAAATGTTCGTATTATGAACGGAATACATATGAAATAAACATATTGTAAAACAAATATATGTCAATCACTAGATTCAATTCTAGCCATAAATGAAACAAAAAATCATACGAAATAATACATGATACAATGGTTCTTAAAGATCTCATGATACTAAATCATGAACGCACAAAATTTGTATAGAAAACAACGAAAATACGCATATAACCGTTTGTCTACGATTTGAATGACCGTTGACAAAATTATGCGAAGAACTAGTGTCGGTTTACATCCTCGTAAACTTATGCAAAATATCGGGGAAAACCACGATAATGAAGTGTTTGCGACATTCCTTACTTACGGAAAAAAAAATCACGGGCCACGGGTCGTGGTGAAACATAAACATCCGGTGGCTTGGCCTTCGGGGATCATTCCGCCACCTTTACTCGTATCTATCGCCTCTAACAACCGCACCACCTCATCCATCTCGGGTCTCTTATCGGGATTCGCATCCCAACATTTTTTCAAAATGCTCGCAAACGAACTCGGACAACACTTTGGAATGTCGGGCCGTAAATTCTGAAGCGATGTAAATAAAAACGTTAAACTAAAACAAAAATATTACGATAATAGGTTGTTTTAGAGAGATGTAATTATTACATTTTCTTTACTGAAGTAAATGACAATTTTATCCTTGATAATAGAGGGAGTAATGAATTTCTCCATCTCATTATTACTGTAGAATTCGGAAGCAGACACGTGTTTTGAAGAATCTGGTATAGTATGATTAGGGGTGTAAACGAGTCGAGCTTTTAACGAACTGCTCGAGCTCGTTTATCTCGGACTTAATAATTCTCGAGCTCAAGTCAATCACGAACACAAAACAAAACTTGTTTAACTTAACGAGTTAAGCTACATAACACCAATGTTTGATTCGGCTCGATCGAAACTCGAATAAAATTTCCGAGCCGAGCCCATTCGAGCATACACTTTCTTGAGCCGAACATGCTAATTTGTTTATTAGATCATACAATAAAAATATAAAAATTATCAACCTTGAGCAATAAACGAGTTAATCAATTGTGAGTTCGAACCCATAAACGAGCATCAAGCTCGAGCTCGATATATCAAAGAATACTCGAGCTCGAGCACAAGCCCTACATTGAAAAAGGTTATTCGAGCTTGAGTATGGTATTTTTATCGAGCCGAGAATAACCTACTACTCAACTCGGCTTATTTACACCCCTAACTACGATAATATAAGTAAATCAAAGCTAAATAAATGACGAACCTGACGAACGACCGCCGAAGATACTTCCGCAAAGCTAAGATCGGCGTACGGCATGTCACAACAATACACTTCCCATAAGCAAATGCCGAAGCTATAGACATCACATTTCCGATTGTAAGGCTTCCCATCAAGAACCTACAGGATTTACCGCTTTTAGATTTTCCACAAGAAAAAAGTTTACAAGCGGTAACTACATAGAACGCCCGAAGCAAGCAAGCAACGTGCAAGTCTAAAAGCACGCACTTTTTCACATGGTATAGTTATGATGCAAAAACGGTATGACATCTACCTCCGGAACCACAGACCTCCCACTCATTCTGTAAGGATGTCCACCTCCTTACCTACTAAGCTAAAGCCGTCGGGACTCGTTCAGCTTTCTAGCATGAATCCCGACAGCCTATAAATGTGTGATCATTACACAATTTAATTAACTAAATGACAATTTTACCTTTAATAACAGAGCGATTAATGAACTACTCCATGTCATTATTAAGGGTATGGAAAGTAAACATTTGCTTTTGAACGTGGACACTTATTTTGGAAGGTAAATGTAAAATGACCTAAGTACCCCTACTTCACCAAATTATTATCTAATTATGATTTTTTAAATATATATAATCTTTGTATAATACTGCAAAACTCACACACTCTCCTCACATTTAGTGAGCTTGAAACCTAGGCCTACAGAGAGGTTGGAATCTCCTACTAACCCAGATATCGGAACCTACAGATAACCCGGATACCGGAATCTACTGGTAACCCGGATATCGGAATCTACTGGTAACCCTGATACCGCTGGGCCAATGACCTTTGGTATCTATTTTTTTGTTTTTTATACGTACCTCAGGCGCCATGTAACCAAGAGTTCCCGTTTCACCGGTCATGTCTCTCGGGTTTTGAGCTTCAACACGAGCAACGCCAAAATCAGCAATCTTCAGGGTTCTATTCAAATCTAAGAGCATATTTTCAGTCTTCACATCACGGTGCACAATCTTCTTGGAATGAAGGTAGCTTAGACTGCAAAAATCAAGAAAACGTAAAGACGCATGCTTTACGACACTCGGCCTCTCTACTCCACCCCATTACACGCTATTTTTTCAAGAAAAGAATAGAGTCGAGCTTACCCTCTAGAGAGATCTAAAGCAAGTTGAACGACAATCTTGAAAGACAGTTTCTTTCTACAATTCCTGATTAAATATTTCTTGAGCGTTCCACCGGGAAGATACTCCACCACAACACAACAAGCCCGAGAGGGTAGAGAATTTTGGGCGGCATTCGAGGTGTTGTTTGTCGGGATCTTAAGATCCGAGGTTCCCATTGAAGCTCCAACAAACTACAATATCAAAAGAGAAGATACTAATAAAGACTGTAAACCAAACCAATGAGCCCAGTATATCCCGCTAAGAGGTGGGGTCCAGAAGATAAGATGTAAACAAACCTAACCTCTACCCTAAAAAGTAGAGCCCAATATAGGTGGGATTTAGGGTTAAGATGTAAGCAGACCTGACCTCCCTAACCTCTACCCTAAAAAGTAGAGATCAATATATCCCACTGTCTGAGAGGTGGGATATGGGGGGTAAGATGTAAGCTCACCTGACCTCTACCCTAAAGAGTAGAGCAATTGTTTTCGTGAAGACCAGTGATGGATCCAGGACTTCTGTTAATGGGATCGGATTTAAATTTAAAATTTTGAAACTTTATCGGGGTTAGTTGACCCCACTCCCCGGGGGAGATGTATCTATCAAATGGTAAAGACCCCGACGAGTGCAGAGTGTGTGAAATGGAGAAAAACATATATGCAAAGCAAATGTGATATGAGTAAGCAATAGCAATATAAATAGGAATAGAGAAAGAGACAGACAAAKGTGCTAAATTTTGAGAAACCAGATATGAGTAAGCAACAACAATATACGAAATAAAGACCGTATGATTGCAAATCCTAGAAATAAATTGAATCATTCTAGAACTTGAAACGAATTATCGGAATTTTAGATGTAGTTATAAGCTTAATGAGTATTAAACCTTGGTGACATTTGGATGGTCGAGTTTATGCCACACGGCAACTTCTTGTCGAAAAGATGTCCGAAGATTGGCAGTCTCAGCAGCGGTCGCAAGGCCATCCTCTCCCCAATCCAATACCTTCACTGCAATCGTGCAAATTTATAAGAAAAAATCACAAAAATATTGATCACAAGACAAACAAATTGTCTACCAGACCATCAAGAAACGACCCTTTTTGGACAACCAAGTGGTGCTCTAGTTTTTTTCTTTGTGATAACCGTGGATTTCCAGATCAACTTGTGTGCACCTCGACTAATCCTATGGGGCCCTAAGTTAACAGTCAGGAAAATGTAACAAGTCTACCAATTGAATCAATACCCACAAATAGGGGCGTACGTGGGTTGGGTTGGGCGGTTTGAGGCATTTAAACAACTCAACACAATTACAACRGTTTGATAAAATCTCAACCAAACCCGTTAGAAAGTGAAACCCGACCCAACTCTATGAATTATCATGAGCACAAAGAAATCTTTATGGAATTTACCGCATGATCATCTCATCATAACAAGTCTAAAAACTGAATCAATACCCACAAAAACTGAAACTTGAAGTCACAAAACAGCCATTAATGAGCATCAAGAAATCTTTAAGGAATTTACCACATGATCATATTTTCATAACAACTCTATCAATTGAATCAAAACCCACAAAATTTTGAAACTTGAAGACACAAAACAGCCATTAATGAGCATCAAGAAATCTTCTAATAACTTACCACATGATCATCTCATCATAACAAGTCTTACCAATTGAAACAATACCCACAAAAAATGGAAACTTGAAGACACAAAACAGACATTAATCAGCATCAAGAAATCTTTTAAGAACATACCACATGATCATCTCATCATAAGTTCATAATATGTCTCCACCAATTGAATCAAACCCCACAAAAAAATGAAACTTAAAAGACAGAAAACAGCCATCAATAAATCTTTACCTGCAACATCTTGACCATCATAAACACCTCTGTAAACAGTACCATAAGTACCATGAGCAATTACATTCCTTATATCCAATTTAGCTAAATCAATCTCCCATTCTTCTTTCTTTGTATTATTAGCATCCTTATCTCTATCTCTAGACCAAACCCTACTCAAATGCTTATCCAATTGAACATCCCAACTCTTGAAATCAATCTTATCCGCCCTCAAATAGTCCTTACTGCTTATATTACCCAGTTCCTTTGACTTTGAACCTAACCCACCTAGTTGACCACCAGAATTTTTGGGGGAAGAACCCACACTTCTGGATTCAGATTTCTTGGCACCAATTTCACCATCAATTCCTTCTTCAAATTTCTTCAAATCCATGGTTTATTTAGCAGAAAAGAATGAAGAAGAAGAAGAAGAAGACAGAGAAGTGTTTGGAAACTGAAAAGCCTGGGTAGAGAAGTGTTTCAAATAATCAAGATTTTACATCATTTTATCTTCAAGATTTCTTGGAAATCACTTGAAACCCTTTGAAACTTGGGGAATTTATAACCCTTGAAATCAAGAAATTTGAAGCTGAACTGGGAATAAAACTAAGAACCCCAGCTACAAACCCAGATGGAAAAAAGTGGAATTTTTCAAAGATTCGAAGGATTGTGACCTCAATTTTCGGAAAACGAGGGATATTGTTTTGAAGGTTGGATAAAAATGAAAATCAAAAACCTTGAAAAATAAGGGATTTTGGTGGGGGTGGAGAGAAGGGGAATTCGGTGGTGGAATTGAAAGAAGAATCAGCAGAGGAAGTGGAGAGAGGGGTTCTCTTGATTGATCTCACCCCCAAAAAATGCTTTGAAATTAAGCATATAAACAACAACAATCGTAACATGTGTATACGACCTTTTCAACTTTCACATCTAAAATTCATAGAAATTAGACTTTTAAAAAAATGGGGATTTCTTTTTCCTCTCTAAATAAACAAGGATTTGGTAAAATTAATGATAGATATTTATTTAAAAAAATATTTAGAGGATGTTTGGTAGTTGTTTAATGGTTTGATGTAAAATGATTAAGTAAGTGATTATAATGATTAAGAGACTCTCATGATATAGTGCAAAATAACATATAATTGTTTGATAATTATTTACTGCTAAATTAGGGCGCGAAATAGTTAAGGAATACACATGATACAAAATCATTCAGAGAATTTTATAACTATTAAAAATCAGATTTTTTTTTACCAAACAAGATTCACCTTTTAGGATTCAGAAATTTCCAAAATAATAATTATATCCCCTCTAGATATGAGAATTTTTTTTCTTCTCTTTCTCCTCCGGTTTGGGTAATATTTTGAGGAAAAAAATATAAAAACCCTTATCTTTTTAAAATCCTCTAATAAATTATTGTAATAAAGTTTACTTTTAACCGTAAGGGTAAATTGCGTAAAAACATAACATACTTTAACTTGATTTCTATTTTAGGTCATGTATTTCCAAAACTTTCATTTTGATACCTAAGATGTAAAGTTTTAAACATCAAGTATTTGGATAACCGGTTGAAATATTAACCGGTTACCATACAGATGTGGCGAGTGATGTGGTATCCGGTTAATGCTTCAGCAAATAATGCTGAGTTGGATACCACATCGACATGATAACAAGTTATCGCTTCAACCGGTTACCCCGGATACTTAAATGTTTAAAACTTTACATCTTATATACCAAAATTAAAGTTTTAATAGTACGTTACTTAAAATAGAAATCAAATTAAAATACGTTAAATGTAAATTACCTGATTATTGATATTCTTTTAATCACTTGGTGTTAGTGATACATATTTATCTTATTTTAGATATTGAGTTGTCATAAATGGAAAAATTATTATTTAATTGTTTAATTTTTATTTTTTTTATTTTTTTGATTAACTTGGATATCCAACCTGCTATGCGAGCCGACTAATTTCAGGATGACCACCTGCTTTACAGATAGCCCGCAGTCACCGCATTTGAACCCCCGTGGTCACAAGAGGATTTTTATTTCTCTTTGGATTTGAACCTGTGACCTCCTGGTACTTTTGACCTTTAGAGTCAAGCTCAAACCAATTAGGCACCACCTTTATGGTTAATTGTTTAAAATTTAAAGAACTACTAAAGACGTAATTTTTTTTATTCTTATAAATCAGAAAACTTTAAAATTAAATGTATGTGAAAGAGAAATAATATTTTATTAAATGTATGAAATATTTTAACTACATAATCAATGTTGTAATCTCCAACAGATTTTCTAAAATTTTCTCAGATCAAAACCAAATCTTTCATAAAAATCACATTTAACTTCAATAGTTTTTCCAAAGCTTCTGAGAACATAATAAAAAAAATATTTTTCTGTTGTAGGATAAGTTTGTTATCGTCTAAAGAATGTGAAAATAGAGATAGATATGTCAGAGTTATATTATAAGTGAAATATCTCGTAGTTATTTACTTGTAATTCATTCCTATTAAAAAAAAACTTATGATTAATTAGAATTATTTATTTCTTCTTTTTATTCTATTGTTATTTTTCAGTTATTTCATAATATTTTCGTAATTAATCTTGCAGAGATATTTAAATTTAAAAAAATTGTATTCTTTATTTTCTCGATTTAAGAATTTCTGATAAAAATGCTTAAATCAAAATTGGAAAAAAAGATTTTATTTTATTAATAGAAATTTTATTAATTTTAATTATGGGAATTTTCAAAAGAGAATAATCAAACTTTGAATTTTTATTTATTGCGATTTTTAAATTAAAATGCAAAAAGTCTACAAGATATGTACATAATAAATAAATAAATAAATAAATATAAGAATTTTTTAAATTCATATCATTTTAAAAATATATATATATATATATATATATACTTTAATGTTAAGATTTTAATTAATTTTGTAATAGTTGTTGCTAAATAATATATAAATTTAAGGGTAAATTATATGAAAAAATAATGTATTTTAACTTAATTCCTATTTTAGATAACGTATTTCTAAAACTTTCATTTTGGTGCATATGATGTAAAATTTTAAACATTTAAGTACTCGARTAACCGGTTGAAGAATTAACTGGTTAGCATGTTGATATGATATTCAACTCAGTATTATTTACTTACGTGATTAGTGACATGAATCTTTTTAATTTAAAATTAGTCTTCAACCGGTTATCTGAGCATTTAATTGTTTAAAACTTTAAATCTTATATATCAAAATAAAAGTTTTAAAAGTAAATTACACAAAATAATAATCAAATTAAAGTATTTTACTTTTAATTTATCCTAAAATTTAATTAAAATCATAATTTTGAAGACAAATAAATAAAATAGAAAATAGAAAAAAAAAGTGGCGTAATAGAAGAATGTGGGTCGGCGACGACATCGGAAGGACCGTCGCTACGGAAACGACATTCGGATCTACGCAAAACGACAATTGGAAAAGTATCTCCTTGTACGTCAATGTCGACCATTCCAAAATTTATTTATTTATTTATTTAATTTGTAAAATGTCAATTGTTTTTTTATTCAATTATTTTATGTCCACTTGTTTTTATCTGATTGGTCGCAATTTTCTTAGTAGTAATTGATTTAAATGCATGACATCATCATAATGGCAATTATTCTCTAAAATAACGAGACACATTTTAAATGTTGTATGATTATCTCTTAATAGTTTTATTAAAAGACAATATCTGATTGTTAAGAGGTGAATTTTATTTGACAAAAAAAACTGTCTCTTAATGATTCTAAAACCCTCTAAACGATTTTGTTGATTTACGAATCTTGATTGTTACAAAGGGCGATGCTATGGTCTTTTTGAGCAAGAGCTAAAGTAGCTCCTAAAAAAAYTGTTATTATCCCTGTCAAAGAGATAAAATTCATTCACAAGTCTTTCTTAATTATTCAACGTCTTGCAAACAATTACCAAACAATTATATTCATTTTGCATTATACTACGAGAGTYTCTTAATCGTTCTGACTACTTAATCATTCTGTATAAGTGAAAATTTTAAAGACTTAATGATTTTTTTTCTTCAAACAGCAATGCTAAAGTATATATATTAAAAAAACAGAGAAAAGTTGAAATCRGGTGAGGACGAGTTGGGGTAGCGAGTGGTGTAGAACAGGTGGCAGTTTGACCGCTAAAACAACTATTTACAAGAGGTAATTTTTGTTTCATTTTTTATGTATAGACGATAGAAGAATCTTACAGTTAAAWACTCGAGTTTTTGCCTTARAATAATACTGARATTTGGGATTATTCCAGTACAGATTTCGTGTAACTGAAATAGCAACTCCAACAATATATTCAATATGGGGCTTCTCCACAATTTGAAGGGACCTCGTGACTTCAGGTGTCAAATTAGACCAAACCACACTTGTTATATTAAATTAGTCAAGGTTTTTATATGAATACAATGACGTCATCTCACACACACACACACATATATATATATATATATATATATATATAACTAGTTGACAATAATAATTCATTATTATTATTAAAGCAAGTAAATGTCAAACCACAAGAAATTATTGGATATGCTTCACCTTAACTTCTTTATGGTCTCTCACGCTCACAAACAAAAACCATACGTACATACAATATATATATATATATATATATATATATATATATATATATATATAGACTTGGGATCATGTGAGACCAAAAGTTTTTCCTGAGAACCATAAAACCAATTGTCAACCCTTAGATTAGATCTACAATCTGAACATTCATAATCACAAAATTGCCACGAGACTTCTCAATAATCATAAAATTGTCACCATATAACTTTAGATCATTAGATTATTAGCTTATAAAGTTGATCAATAAATATAAATTGATCTTACGAGTCTCACGAAAAACTATTGGTCCCACATGAACCCAACCCTCTCCCTCTCTCTCTCTCTCTATATATATGGAAGTGGGATGGGTAACGAAGACTGTTCATAAAATTCTAGCAACTTGTAGCCCCACAAAGCCATTTGACACCCACACACGTACACACATAAAATTGTATTTAAGTCTATTCTAATTTCTACACCTTCGCGCAAGGCCCACAAAGGCACCAACCATAAAATAATATTTTTTGAGTAAATTACAAATTTCGTCCCTATAGTTTGGTGAAAATGTGAATTGGGTCCCTCAAGTGAAATAATTACAAGGACGSTCACTGTGGTTTCGTTTTTATTATAGATCAAGTCTCTCACGTTAAAAATCGTTAAAGTTCTCCGTTAATTTTGTGTTTTAGCTGTGTTTATGAAATTTATAATTGTTGAGGGGCTTGTCTTACCAATCTTTTAATATATTCTTTCTTTTTTACATATTGAATTTTTGTTTCAAGGACCTGATTTGCTAGTTTTAAAAACACAAGAAACTTCCCCATTCTTTCTCGTGAACAAGAATCAAACCTAAAATGCATATCCAAAAAGACGTTATACATATAAGCATGGGCAAACATTCAATTAGAACAAGATTTATTTTATGTATAAGACCTAACTGAACAAATTCTAACAAGCATCAAACTCAGATGATCTCACTTTATTCAAATTCAAAGTCCACAAAAAACCAGATAAAGAAAACAGAGGATGCGCCATCTCTCTGATTTGTATCCATTAACATTTACACCAAACACTTTATTCATCGCAGGCATCTACTAACTTCTCTTCATTATATTTACATAAACTTATACTTAGAGGATTCATTCATTCATTTCTCCAAAGGATACGAGTAGGAGACGAAAAAGAAACACCTTTGATCTCTAAACCAAATAAGAAAGGAAAAACCCCCCCAGAGAAAATGCAATTCATCAGGGATTACAATCAATGAGTGGAAAAACCCTTGTTGATTTCATAGCCAAGAGTTGAAAAGGGTTTTTTCTAAGGTTAGATCTGCTATGGATTCCGTGAACAAAAACTAAATCCAAACGGAAAACCAAAAGCTAAAACCGAACCCAGAATTAAACATAGTTGAGTTGGTCCTAATCTATTTGATTTTTTTWATTTGTGTTGAGCGATGGTTGTCTTTGGGTCCTGAAAAGTTCTACAGAAGCAGCCTCCCAAGGCCAACGTCTCCAAAGGCGAATTGAGGGTAACGTTGAGAAGCTTTGGAACTAGATCGAGAAGTCAATCAAGAAGAAGGAATCGTTAAGCCCCCAACTGTCAAAGAAACAACTCACTTCGAAATCGATGGAAAATTCGGGCAAAAGCAAAAATAAGAAGGAAGAGATTGATTTGAACCAGAGTCGTACCCCATCACTAGCTCCATTAGCTAACATGGAGAAGATGTGATTTATGGGTTTGGCTGATGAGGAGGACGAGGGTGAAGAAAACACGATGGCTAGKAAGTGGACGGTGAGGAAGCTTTTCGACGAATTTGAACTCGTTACAACTACAAAGAGAAGTCCTATTACGAGCTCAAAGCATGGTGAGTCTAAGATGGAAACAATGGCTTCAAGGACCTAGGGTGGGAAAACGGTGGCCGAGGAAASAAAATCACATGTTTGATTCAAAAGCGGTTCAAAAAGATCGTACTTTATTTTWTTCAAAGTTGTTTTTTTGAAACGATCCAKAAGTTGTTTCTTGAGTTTTAAAATTTGAGAAAACAGACCCTTGAAATAATTACAAATTTTATAACACAGTAAAAAATGAGAATTATTCCAAGTTGACAGGAGATTTTAACCACTGGTAATACGAGAGACTTGACCCGTAACAAAATTAAAACCACGGCGATCGTCCTCCTAATTATTTCAACTGAGGGACCCGATCCAAAATTTTCTCAAACCATAGGGGCAAATGTGTAATTAGACCAATGGTCAAACACATGTATTAGAATGTATGTGAAGTCAATTGTTGAGTTACAAATCATGTGGTTTTGGAAACATTCATGCCCCCTATTTTATGAAACTACTTTTTTTTCCAAGCTATGTACATTGTCATATTTTTAAGTTTTAAATTTTATTAGGAAAAATTATGTATTTTGAATAATTTTATATAAAAGATCTTTTAGGTTCGTTATTTGTCAGCCCATGGACAAATCAAACCCGTTTATAGCATTTGGGTAAAATAAAGTCATCAAGCCTGCAAAAAGGGGTTTAAGTTTACTATATCAAGTCCATTGGACAAAACAGACCGATTATGCTTATTCGTAAGTGCGCAATTCCGCAAATGTTCACCTCTAAGATCAAGCATGAAATGATGCAATCACCAGGCCAAAACATTTTCTTACCAGGGGTTTTCACGAAAACCACTAGATGTAGATTGTAGAGGACAAATCCTCGTACATCACATATTTCGTGGATTCTACTTCTGAATGAGATATACTGGATTAGTTTGGTTTGATTTTTGGATCGAATATTGAACATATTCRAGAGGCTAAAGGGGACAACGATAATTCTAAACATTAGCAGAAAGTGTACATGGTTTAAATGAGATAATGTTAATTTACGAARATGTATTATAGATTATAGTCTATAATATACACAGCCACACAAGTCTTTACCTCCAAAGCGGGAATTTGGAACCGACTCCTGCATCACCACAGTAGTATGTTACGGTTATATGCACCTTCATGTTATGCCGCCTGTCCAAACAAATTGGTTTGTTTCATCGGTTAAAACCAACAAATGTTAAGGGGTAGCCAATATTATAGCATAGAGAAAAAGGTAGAAATGGGGCCTAGTCAACTAAAACCATAGTGAGAAATTATTTACAGTCAGTTAGGGTGCGTCTGGTATGCGAACATGAATGGAGGAGTTGGGACTGGCGAGAGTAAGGAAGGCAGGTGAAGGAATTGTTTGGAAGGTTTTTATTTGACAAGGGTAGTTTAGTAACTTACGTTTCTCATTTTCCGGATTTTTCTTCCACAAAAGAACTGCATTTTTATTCCACTCAATCCTGTCCAGTCTAATTGTTGATCCAAACGTGAAACAATGATAAAAATGATAGTACCAAAGACATTCCTTTCCTTACTTATCAAGGGCCGCTTTTTTACATCTCGCCCATGACCTATAAAATGACAAGAACAAGTCTGCCCACTAATGTGGTAGAAGTCAAGTCTGACTACATCTTACCCTCCTTAGACCCCACCTCCAGGTGGGATATACCGGTTCGGTTTACTTGGAGGGACTTAGAATTTACTTCCAATGAATGTAGGACACTTAACAGTATGCCACGTCTACAAAGGGTGCATGCTCAAAACCAGAAAAAGRAAGGGGGTCGACCAGCAAATTTGCAAAAGTAGAGGGGGTTAACAAGAAAATATCACATGATAATTTTCAATGAATCTTGAAGCCATGGTTATGAGTAATAAATAACTTTGCCTAACCTTGACTTTGAAGAGAACACTATTGTCAGAAACTTGTTGGCCAKGAGTGACTTGAAGCCCGCTAACGAGGCCAGAGGTTGGTGCCGTCAACACATGCTATTCGATAACCAAGGGCACAAAATTGGAAAAGTATTAGTAACCAATTCAAATCGAATTACTCCTTCCGTCCCCAAAATAAATGTATGTTTTACCTTTAACTATGAGACGGAGAAATTCATTATTCTCTCTATTGTTAAAGGTAAAATTGTCATCTAGTTGATTAAAAAATATAGGTATCAAATTTTGAGTGATTAAGTTCGTTAACTATTTTCTTGAACAAATAAATCCTTAAACTTACTAAAACCGAAAAAACTCAATGACCGTTTCATATTTTCAGTGATTATGTCCTGAACATTTTTTGAACGAGTAAATCCTTACACTTAATAGACGAAAGAAAATTACCCTTTCTTCCATGTATCAACAARTCAGTAGAAAAGTACAACAAATAAATAAAACGAAAAAATACACCGTTTTTACTAATCCTTGTTTATTCTTCATATTTAAATGACAATCACAGGTGTTTGTTATGATCCTGTGATTGTAACTTGAATTTGAAAAATAAATAATTATTAGATTTCCTAATTATTCCTATTTGAATATGAGAAATAAATAATGAATAACGAAAATGATATACTCATTGTTTATTGGATTATTGTACTTTGTTGTTAATCTATACACATCGATTGAGAAATGATATATTGCTTTTGCTTTACAAGTGTAAGGATTTATTCGTTTAAAAAAATATTCAGGTACCTAATCGCTCAAAATATGAAATTTCATTGGGTTTTTCTAGGTTTTAGTAAGTTTAAGGATTTATTTGTTCGATTTCAAAAAGTTTAAGGATTTATTTGTTCTAAAAAAATAGTTTAGAGACTTAATCACTCAAAACATGATAGTTCGATGGGTTTATAAGACTTTTCCCTAAAAGTGTAAAGACATTTATTTTGGAATGGAGGGAGTATTAACTTTGCATCCTGAATTTAATTGCAAGTAGTAGAATGGTTTTGATTTCAAACCTCCATTTTCATTGCTTCCATGACCAACATAGGTTGTCCTTCTTTGACTTCCGTTCCATCTTCGACTAGAACCTTAATGACCAGACCGGACATGGGRGCGGTGACGGTCCCTGGAGGATGGGTTGCAGATTCATGATTTCGGTGTTGATGGGTTTCAAGGTTATCCAACAGATCGAGCCCCACTTTTTGCTTAAACTGATGATGGTCTGAACCATGCCATATGTGAATGTGCTCAGTTTTATCCTGCAAGTTGTAACAAGAAAAGAGCACTGATTAGCAGCTTCATAAAAAATCCACGTGACTCGGCTTTCATTAAAAAAATGATTTTTAATCAACCAAACCAAACCAAACACGTCCAATATGTCCCACCCAAAGGTGGGGTATGGAGAGGGTGGGATGTAGGCAGACGTGATCTCTCCCAAATATTAGAGCCGAGAGCGATTGTTCTCGTGAAGACCCCCGGCTTGTGCAAAGTGTGCAAGAATATATACGAAGCTTGCTATTTTTTTTACGGAAATAGATAAATATAAAGAACTTGAGAAAACGATCCAACTGCCAACCCACTAATCCTTCCTCCGTCTAGGTGCTGTTTGGTTGGTTTTCCATTAAGTCCTGTATAGATAAAGTTGTCTGTGTGGATTAATTTGTTTGTATAGCTTGGGAAAGTTTTTGTTTGTAAGGGTTTTTTATAGATGGAATAAACATGTTTTTTAATTGGGCGGGGCAGTTTTCAAGACAACTTGGATTTCTGCATAAAGCTCCCCTAAAGGCTTACTAAATAAGCCATTTTCTATATCATTAAACCACTACCAAACAGTCATGTATAGCTGACCGAATAAGATTTGAGTCTCATTAAGCTCATTAAACTGCTAGCAAACAGACCCTAGGTCTCGTTAGCTATAGATTCCCACTTCTAGYCATCTTTCTCTTTTAATCTTTATATTAATACTCAAATCACTCGAGCACTACAAAATCATATAGGAACACATTTCTACGGGCCAAAKTGTAGTGGACCATAATCAGTAATGAAACGGCATCCAAATGCATACGCTAAGTTCATAGGGAGAATAGAAAAAAGAGGTTGCGCACCTTGAAATAACTGGCCAGATTTACGTTCTTGCTTATCCCATCAGCCTCAACTCTGAAATCATGGTCTCTCAAGTGTATTACRGTGACTTCAAGAGCAGGAAAGCTGCTTTCCCCCATCTGCAAATATGTATYAAGCATAGTTASATATGGTTGGSTTCCGGTGARAACAACCTCTTTTTGGTGAGAACACTTCGGAACTCTAGATTTCTTTCGAGAAGACGGACCTAATCGCTCATGTTTTTGAAGAGGGGTAATTTCGTCTTTTTCAAGGGAGACTGGACCTTCAGCCACCTGCATTCACACACTTGCACCTACCTACCTTCATTACCATCGCATACATACTCATATCACCATGACTAAAAACTTTAACAAACTCATGAAAGGTGACTGAAGGTGAAGGTAGTTGAAGGTCCGGTCTTCCTTACAGCCATGCATCAAAGTTCCATTTATTTACAAAAATGCGGTGCCATCAGATGAAAAGCTCATCTAAAGGCTCAGGTGTTCTCATCGTTCTGACCAAACTCAGCTGTTTTTTTGGAAGGGTGTCCATAGCCTGGACTAATCCCCGCAAATTGTGATTGCAAGAAATTAACCCTGATAAACTCAGTGACCACAACTGTTCTGTAAGCCTGGAATCGAACCCTGGGCAGATCGGGTATTCCATCACATCCCCCTGGACCTCAACCACTACGCCACAACCCTTGTGGCTGCAAACTGAATTGTTCTCGCATGATGTTGAATGAATTAACGTTGGCTGAAGCATGTAGTACTGAAACACGCTATCGAGATTGAAAAGAGAATAAGATGTTAATTCAACCAATTATCATTCATATGATGGTACCTTGATGACATAATTCCCGTTCGGCAGATAACTGATGGWAAGTGTCACGTTCTCYGAGTTGTTATCATGGTATTCGTTCTCCCATTCTAGTTCTATTGTACGTGTGGCATGATGATGGAGTCTAAAYGGAGGATGTGCATACCACACACCCAACCCACCTAAAATGCATTTATTAATGGATATTAGTAGCTATTCTTAAGTACTCCCTCCATCCCAAAATAAGTGTCCACATTTCTATTTTAGTTTGTCCCGAAATAAATGTCAACCTTTAAAAGTAAGTGTCTACTTTCCAATTCTGCCCTTAATTAGGAAAATTGACAAAAATAGCCAATCCATCAACTATCCATAGTTTACGAAAAATCCTTACGCATAGAGATTCAAATTTCTGCATCTTTTTCCTTTAATTTTTTTTCTAGAATTCAAATTTCTGCATAAGTATTCGAATTTCTGCGTAAACTTTGGCTATTTTGGAAGAGGTTCTGAAAAGTGGCTAAAAAGTGAATTTGGTTGATGGGATTGGCTATTTGAATTGATTTCCCCCTTAATTATAAGATGGGAAAAAATATTCTCTCTATTTGTAAGGGTAAAAGTGTCGTTTAGTTAATTAAAAAGTGTAATAATAATAGGTTCTTGTAACTGTGTTCCATTTTCATTGTGGACATTTATTTTGGGATGGAGAGAATAGCATGCAAATGTTCCGAAATAAAAAGGCCTCCAAGTTTACCAGGGGGACTTTTCGTCAATAGTGTGTGCTCCTTTTCACAAATACATGCAGCTACTAACGCTGCACTGTATTTAGCAGCATCATATGCTGCTTTTGCTGATWCTGAATCACTTGGTGTCACGAATAAGTCGTCTTTAAAATGATCGATAAAATGGGTTTCAAGTTCACCATTCTGGAATGCCTTGTGGTTAGCAAGTTTGAAGAGAAACTCGATATTTGTGGGCAAACCTGCAACCTACAAAAGCAGGCACACAAGATATTACAATATTATCAAGAATCCGAGGATGCAAATCACATCGAGAATGGAAGTAGTTCACATTTTGGGATTTACRTTGAAGGAAGGAGGTCAGCTGCCCCCATGAGTTTTCAATAAAAAAAATTACATTATAAGTTTTATTATTATTAACCTTATCCCTCCCCCCCCCCCCCCGGGGGAACTAAGAAGATAGTCTGACCCTCAAATTAAATGTTAGTCCAAATCCAGATCCATTTCCTTTGAAGAATGCAAGTTGTTTCTCATTTATATATTTTTTTTATCTAACTTCTATTATATTTTATATCATGTTGATTAAATTCCTCCCCCTRTCACCAAAATTCCTGGATTCACCACTGATCACATGTTATGCAAGATTGAAGTAAATATATGCAGAGATGGACCTAGAAATTTTTTCAAGTGGTGGCACCATTTGACAATAAGAAACAAATATAGGAATATCTTTCAMAATCATCATTGATCTGTTGGTTAGTTCATTGCTTTTCATATGTGAGGTTCTGTGTTCAAGTCTTCTATTGCAAAACATTTTYAGAAACATAATAGATCTGAAATTAAAAGCTAAAAACTACGAAAATGACACTAATAGGATTCGAACTCAGGTCTAGGGTGGAAGAAAAGCCTTGTAAACCAACTCTACCAAGGAAACTTGTGTCCTCATTGTAGTTYCAAAATGTATACGGTGGCACACTGCACATTGATACGGTGGCACTTTTCATGACCCTATCATTTTTTAGACTACAACGGAGGGACGAAGCAGTGGCCCGTGCCAMCACATACATCACCTGTCCCTGATGAGGATGCATCCCAACTAGTTTCAGACAAGAGTGCCATTGCTGTTGAAGCATAAAAATGCATAGAGGTAATACAATTATTAGCTTAATTGGGGGAAGCAACACTAGTTATATCTGCTCCTAAAACATTGACTGATTACTAACACCTCACAGAAAAGCAAATTCACCCCCCATCAGAGTAGACAAGTTTTTAACAGAGCCAGTGAAACAGAKAATCATTTAAMCTAATTGCGGTAAAATTTCGGTAATGCAATATACCTGAAACTTGGCTAAAGAATCCYTCAATTTAACTAATGCTGCAGAGCGGTTCTCTCCCCATACTACAAGCTTAGCAATCATAGGGTCATAATGCATGCTTACAGTGTCCCCTTCTTCAACTCCAGTCTCAACTCGAACTGATGCAAAGTGAAATCAAGAAGAAAATCACAAAGGTACCAATATATAGTAGGGTTGGGTTCCGGTGAGAATGGAAGTWATGGTGAGAAGGGTAAGAAAGGATCTCCACCCTTGGATCAATCYTRATTGAAGATCAACACTAATGAGATGCACCGAGATCCACCGGATCAGTTCCCGTAASAAGCGCAATTCATGAGGTGGGGGTGAGTTTAWAA